TTGTTTGTTGCTCCTCAGAAACCAAAAATGCCCCCATATAACTAAGTCCTTAGTAATCTGCTTACTAATGACAGAGAATGAATTAAAATTCTATTTCCCCTTTAAGTAGCTTACTTAAAAATCAGAACTAAGCAAATTTAAACACTAGAAACATTCAGACTATAAAGCAAAAAGTATTTCTAAAAACAAATCTGCTCATTTAACACTCTACATTCACCAAAGAGTTCATTAGTTGCTTTCTCTCAACTATTAAGTTTGTGGAAAATATCAATAAAAAGCATGAGCAATCCCTCCCACACCCTCCCAAGCTGTTAAACAAAACCATTTAACCATGGACGGTACTTTCCTTCCTTAAACAGTACCGTATGTTTCAAAGAACTTAATTACCTGAAGGGCCACTCAACATTGCATCTTCTGAAATGAAGTCTATTCCCAGCTTTTTCCCATTTTCAGCATAAGCTTTCCATAGGCTCTTATTGGGAAGAACATTGTAATAATCATGTGCTCCACCTTTAATTTCTACCTAGTTAAAAATTATAAAACAAATTTTAAATTAAGAAACTCAAATTCATTATCTAATTTTCAAACTAGCAATGGTTCTCTAACAGAAAGAGGTTTAAGAGAGGGTGCTTCCCCTTCAGGATATAAAGTCTCTCAAATCTTTTACCTTAGAAAAAAATTTGTTTTTCTATACCAAGAGTTCCAAAGACCCTATCTCCTTTGTGTTATATAAACACCAAGGTAACCTAGCTCTGCTAGTCAGTGAGTCCCAACTTCAGTCACCTAAACAGGGTGTGGGTGAGGCCAAGAATCTCCATTTTAACTAGCACCGACCACCATGTAATTCTGAAGCAGGTGGTCTAAAAACCACACTCTTCTAACTCTTAAAAAACATTGTTCTATGTTGTGGCCTCTGAAAGAAAGAAATCAAGATTTACTAATATTCAGTATACAAACTGACAAGGACACCGCTGCTGGGTTAAAAGGTATAAAGGACCCTGAGAGAAATACAGAAGATTCATGATGCAGAAGGGCTGACTGTGGTACTCATTTATTCATTTCAGTGCATGAAAATACAGCAGCAGTTTATATGTACCCAGTTAAGAGGATTTACAGATTTAGATTTGATTAAATCAAAATGGGCATACTACCACAGACTAAAGTTAATACCAAAAACATTAGCAAAAACCAATTATAGAATGGCAAAGATGATAATTCTTCTATTCTTAGCAATATTTAAGTTAGAAACAATGAGAAACAATGACAACCTGAGCAGATACAAGTCAGCCAAAACACAAAAAATTATTAAAAGGCTATTATTTAAAATATAAGAGAAAAGGAGACACGCAATCTACCTGATAAAGCGTTTAAGGTAATGGTCATAAGGATGCTGGAAGAACTCAGAAGAACGGTTGAACAGAGTGAGAAGTTAGAAGTTTTTAACAAAGAGAAAATATAAAAAAGAACCAAACAGAGCTAAAGAATACAATACCTGAAATAAGAACTACACTAGAAGGAATCAACAGTAGATTAGATGATACTGAGGAATGGACAGGCAAACTGGAAGACAGAGTAGTGGTGATCACTTAAGCTGAACAGAAAAAAGAAAAATAAATTTTAAAAAATGAATACAGTTTGAGAGACCTCTGGGACAACATCAAAAGTACTAATGTTCGTATTATGAGGGTCCCAGTAGGAAAAGAGAGAAAGAGGCAGAGAACATATCTGAAGACATAATAGCTGAAAACATCCCTAACCTGGGAAAGGCAATAGACATATAGGCCAAGAAATACAGAGAATCCCAAACAGGATCAACCCAAATCACTACATATATATATAGCAGAACATTACATCCAAAAGCAGTAGAATACATATTCTTTTCAAATGCACATGCCACATTCTTCAGGATAGATAACATGTTAAGCCACAGAATAAGTCTTAGTAAATTTAAAAAGACTGAAATCATACCAAAACATCTTTTCTGACCACAAAGTACAAAACTAGAAATCAATTACAAAAAAAAGACCTACAAAAAATGCAAACACATGGAAGCTAAACAATATGCTACTAAACAACCAATGGGTCACTAAAGAAGTCAAAGAGGAAATAAAAATACCTGGAGACAAATGAAATGGAAACACAACAATGCAAATTCCATGAGATGCAGCAAAAACCTAATAGTGCACCTAAATGAACAAGAAAAGAACAATAAACAAAGCCTGAAGTTAGTAGAAGGAAAAAAAATCATAAAGATCGGAGCAAAAATAAATGAAATAGAGACTAAAAAAAAAAAAACCCAAGAGAAAATATCAGTGAAACTAAGAACTGTTTCTTTGAAAAGATAAACAAAATTGATAAACTTTTAGCCAGACTCATCAAGAAAAAAAGGGCCCAAATCACTAAAATCAGAAATGAAAAAGGAGAAGCAAACTGAATTCAACAATACATTAAAAGGACCATAAATTACAATCAAGTGTGATTTATCCCAAGGATACAAGAATGGTTCAATATCCACAAATCAATGAACATGCTTCACCACATTAACAAACTAAGAATAAAAATCATATGATCATTTCAATAGATGCAGAAAAGGCTTCTGACAAAATTCAACATCCGTTTATGATAAAAGCTCCCAACAAAGTGAATACAGAGGAAACACTTCAGCATAATAGGAGTCATATATATGACAGGCCCACAGTCAACATCATAATCAACAGTAAAAAGCTGACAGCATTTCCTCTAAGATCAGGAACAAGACAGGGATGCCCACTCTCACCATTTTAATTCAATTAGTATTGGAAGTCCTAGCCACAGCAATCAAGCAAGAAATAGAAATAAAAGGCATC